CTGAGGGAATGAGAGACCAGGCCTTGGTCCCGCTCTGTCCCTGCCAGCCATGTGACTTTGAGGGTGATGCTTTCTCACCACTCACCTCAGGGTCATGTCCTTTGACCCTTTACCAGGGAATTCGGTCATTTCTTTACTCACTCCCTCATCCATTCATCCATTTCTTCCACAAGTAGGCAGGCAGTACCTACTATGTGCCAGGAGGCCTGGCTCTGGCTTAGTTGCTGGGGAAGTCACACTGAACAGGCGCTGCCTGTGTCCTTTCAGAGATGACCTTCCAGTGGGAGAGACCACATGTGTCATGAAGGTGGCTGTCAGGGGTGACATAGAGCCACCCCACCCCCAATTTGGAAACAGAGGACCTTGGGCTGTGTCAAGGGGCTCTTGACCTGGGGCTCACATGGAAAGAATTCACCTCTTTTTTTTGGGGGGGGGCGGGGGTTCGAGACAGGGTTTCTATCCTGGACTAGCTCTGTAGACCAGGCTGATTTCAAACTCACAGAGATCCACCTGCTTCTGCCTCCTGAGTGCTGGGATTACAGGCGTGCACTGCCACCACCGCCCGGCAAGAGTTCCCCTCTTGACTACTCTCACTGTGGTTGGCCTTTCCCAGCTTCCCTCTCTGAGCCTCAGTTTCCCCCTCTGTGAAATGGAGCTGTTGGTCTTTAAGGGGCTTCCAGTGCTGACTGAGATGATAGCAGTGCTGACCACATGGCCAGACCTCCACACCTGTTCCTGCACTTGCATTCAAAGTACTGCTTCAGGAGAGTGAGGCTCAGAGGAGGCTGGTGATATTCCCAAGGCCACACAGCAATTCGTCTGCATCCTGTGCTTATGCCCTCCTTACAGCTGCCATTCACAGAAGTTTCACAGGCTCATTACATAAAATTCAGACCATCCACAATCAGATAATGAGTTCCCCTGGGAATCCTGCTTCTACCAGCCAGTCCCCCTGGGCAACTGCCATGATTCCTATCACCAAAGTCTCCCCAAGCCTGTTTCTAAGCTTCATAGAAATGGGATCATGCAGTATGACCACCCCAGTGTATGGTCTATTAACCCACTCCATGAAGTTCCGAGAATCACCTGCATTCTTGTTTCCATCATTCTTAACTTCTGAGTTGCATGAATGGTCTACAGATGATCCTTGTTCATTTTATTCTGATTAATGGAGATTTGGTTCTTTTGGGAGGGTTTTGAATAAAGCTGTTCTATGTCTGTAGTTCCAGGTAGTCAG